ATATGGTTTGAAGCCATCAGCTACTTCATGGGAAAAGGATGGGCAGCCTCTTCCTGTGCGATTTATTGCCTCTGAAAACCCACTGGAATACCAGGTATGGGTTTGTTCTGACTTGACAGTTAAGAAGCTCAAGAGGATAGTTTTTGGTCAGAGAAAGGTCTCTAAGGTTGCTTGGAACATCTGTATATCTATGCCTTTGACCCTGACATAGCATGATAATTATGATAAACATCTGAAAATGACTACATCTTTTTTAAAAAGAAAAAAATTACTGTTAATGTTTTTTTTTACCTGAACACAGTCACTAAGCTTAAACATTTAAAGATGCTTGTTGTTCTTTTAATAGAATAAACATTTTAAATCTGAATATAACAATTTCCATTCTATAGCTATTTTCAATTTTTGACAGTTTGTATTATCCTTTTCTTTATCTCTAAACAAAATTGTGAAATAAGTGTGGTCAGTACCTCTTTGGTATTTTCCCCCCCATTTTAACAAAGGAAAGAATGGGCTGAGAGGAAAAATGCCTTTTCCACTGTTAAACAGATAAGGGAAGTTTGAGTTCCAGTGCTGTTCTGCAGAATCATTTATTCATTGCTTACACACTTAATGAGTATCCACTGTGTGTATGATGCATTGGCAATATAGTAAATGCTACAGCAAAGTCTGTGTCCTTTCTCAGAGTTTGTAATTTAATAAACTATAAGCTATGGTGGGTGTCAACTGACTGGACCTTTGCTGGGTTTAGGTGGCAAGGACCCAGGGGCGGAGTGTCTACTCAGTTTATTATAGTCAACGGCATTTGTTGGGCATGGCTGTCTTTAAAATCCCTCAGGCTAAATGAATTCATTTTTGGATGAACTTGCTTTAAATGTTACAGCATTAGCCTGTATATTTGCTGTACTGAAGTAGCGTGGAGTTGCCGTAATGCTGAACACTGTGCCATAGTTGTGTCATAATGGTTACTCATCATGGACAGTGTTTGGAGGAATTTCCAGATTGATTCAGGTTTGGAAGCAGGAGTGGCATCCACTTTCTAAACCAGATACCTCTGGAAACTCTATGAACATAGAGTTAGTTACAGAACAGGGTTCAGGTCTTTTGTTCATACGGTCGCTATGAGTCGTATTCGACTTGATGGCACTTAACCACCATGAAGTGAGACTAGTGTTGTTATATCTTGGAGGAATATTCTTTTAAGTTGTGTATCATTCTTATGTCAGTTTGCTATACTGAAGTAATCTGGGTTGCTGTAATACTGAGCCTTGTGCCACTGGGATGTCAAATGCCACAACGGTATCTCAAGGTGGACACTGTTTGGTGGAGTTCCCAGCTTATAACAGTTTTGGAAGCAGGAATGGCATCCACTTTGTAAACCACATGCCTATGGAAACTCTGTGAACTTGGAGAAACAACGAAAGTTATAGAAAGGCATCAGGTCTTTCGTTCATAGAGCCACTGAGTCATGCTTGACTCGACAGCAATCAGCAACAACAACATAAACTATTACTATCAAATGGTTTGCAAAGGCAAAAGAAGTATGAAAACATTTCAGAGAGGCTGTTTGAAATCATATATAACATTAAGAAACGTCTAATCTGGGTCACTTTACTGTAACATTGAGTAAAATTTAAGTTTTTCATCTTTTTCATAAGTCTGCTAATTTGCAAAACAAGCTTTTAGAGTCCCCAGCCAGTCATTTATAGCTAATATTCGTACACTTGGTTGAAAATTAGTAATTCAGCTCTGAAGAATTTTTTTACTTCGGTTGCTGAAGTGGATTTTCTGTCATTTCTCTTTCATGTTGTGGTGGAGGTGGTGGTGGTGTGTACCACAGAGTCAGAATTGACCCATAGCTCACCCTCCAGCTGGTTTTCAGAGAGAGTTAATCCTATGAGAGGAGACTGCCCATCCTTCTTCCACAGAACGGCTGGTGTCCTCGAACCACAAGTCTTCAGGATTGCAGTACAGCTTCTTGCCACTTGTTGTTGTTATGTGCTGTGAAGTCACTTGCAACTCATAGCGACCCTGTGTACAACAGCCTTAAACTTTCCTCTGTCCGTTGACAATCTTGACTCTGACACACCTATCCCCATTACCCCAAACGGAGTTATCTCATTGAGGGACTTCCTCTCCTGCACTGTCCCTTCACCCTCCGAAGCATGAAGTCTCTCTCCATGGACTGAGCCTGCCTTGCAACATGTCCAAAGTATGTCAGACAGAGCTTCAGAATCCTTGCATCCAAGGAGCAGCCTGGCTTCACCCTCTCCAGGACGAACTTGTTTGTTCTTCTAGCAGTCCATGCTCAGTCCATATTCAGTACTCTGCTTCAGCACCATAGCTCAAAGGCATCAACTCTCCTATCATCCCTAGTCATTGTCCAGCTCTCTGAAGCATAACAAGTAATTGCAAAGACCATGACCTGTATCAGGCACACCTTAATCTCCAGACTGACATCGTTGCTCCTCAGTACCTAGGAGAGGACTCTGACAGCAGACTTTCCCCCAGTGTAATTTGTCTTTTAATTTCCTGATTGCTGGTACCAAGAGTGTTGATTGTAGAGCCAAGCAAACTGAAACTGTAAAAAATTTCAATTGCTTCATCATCCATCATGATGCTGCCAATTGGGCCAGTGGTGAGAAGTTTTGTTTTCTTGATGTTGAGCTTCAATCCATACTGAAGGCTGTAGTCCTTGACCCTCCACAGCAAGCGCTTCAGGTCCTCTTCAGTTTCAGCAGGCAGGGTTGTGTCATCTGCATAACAAAGATTGTTGATGAGTCTACCTCCAATCCTGATGCCACACTTCTCCTCTTAGAGCCCAGCTTCCCAGATAATCTGTTCTGCATATCAGTTGAAAAGATACATCCTTGGTGCACACCCTTCCCAATTTTGAACCATGCAGTGTTTCCTTGCTCTGCTCTGGGCCTCCTGGTCCAAGTATAAGTTTTGTATAAGCACAATCAAGTGTTCTAGGATTCTCATTATTCTCAGAGTTAACCACAGTTTGTTGTGATCCACACAGTCAAATGCCATTGCACAGTCAATGAAACACAGATAGACATTCCTCTGGTACTCTCTGCTTTCAGCCAAGATCCATCTGACATTAGCTATAATATCCCTGGTGCCACGGCCTCTTCTAAATCCAGACTGCACTTCAGGCAGTTCTCTGTTGATGTGCTGTTCCAGTCGTTTTTGAATAATGTTCAGTAGAATCTTGCTTTCATGTGATATCAGTGGTTGTTGTTGTTGTTAGGTGCTGTCGAGTTGTAGACAACTCATAGCAACCCTATGAATGAAAGGCCTGAGCACTGTTCATACATAGGGTTTCCGGAGGCAAACCATTTCGGAAGTGGATGCCATTCCTGCTTCCAGGCTTGTTTTAGTTGGGAACCTCCAGCCAACACTGTCCACCATCGGTACCCATTAATTACCACGATTGGCACATCATTGTCACAGTGTTCAGCATCACAGCAACCATGAGTCACCTCTGTACAGCAATGCACAGACCAGTGCTATACCACCTAGAAGAATGATATCAATGATACTGTTCAATAATTTCCACACTTTGTCGGATTTTGCCTTTCTTTGGAATGGGAACAAATATAGATCTCTTCCAGTTAGTAGGCCAAGTGGTTTTCCTCCAGATTTTTTGGCACAACTTGGTGATCACAACCAGGGCAGTATCTGCTTGTTTAAATAGGGCAATGAGTATGCCATCAATTCCTGGGGCCTTGTTTTTTTCCAATTCTTTCAGAGCAGCTTGAACTTCCTCCTTCATCACCACAGGTTCTTGCTCACACGTTGCTTCATGAAATTTTTCTGTGGTACGGTGACTCTGTATACTCTTTCCATCTTCTTTTAATGCTTCCTGGATCATTTAATATTCTGCCCAAAGCATTCTTAATTAGGTATTGCAACTCGAGGTTTGAATTTTTTTCTATAGCATTTAACGAAGTTCCTGATCATACATAATAGTGATAAGTATATGTTTATTCAATAAATGAACAGTCTCCCAAATCAGACCTTCTATTGAGCTGAGAAGGCCAAGGACCATGTCTAATGCATTACTTTGCCCAATATGGAGTTCCATATATTATTGTGGCTTTGGCAATGTTAATATTGTTTAATTTTACTTAGAAGTTTTAAGACTCCTGTAAAGTTGCTGTTGTTAAGTGTCATCAAGTCGTAGGCGACTCATAGTGACCCTGTGAACGGAAGTCCTCAACACTTGTGTGACTTTCATTGTTTCTCCAGGTTCGTAGGGTTTCCTGAAGCAAGCTATTAAGGAAGTGGATGCCACTCCTGCTTCCAAGCTTGTTTTAATCAGGGAGCTTCACCAAACACTGTCCACCATGGGTAACCATTACGAGTTACCACCTCTGTATAGTAAATAGTGCTATACTAGTTAGATGAATGTTTGACCAAAAACATTAAAACCAGGCCTGAGGGGCACAGATTAAAATCACCCACATTTGGATAGGTAGCATAATTTTCTATCCACTAGGCTTACAGAGCTCTCTCTACATAAAGAGTGAATATAAAATATTCTCGAGGGAGCTCTGGTAGCTTAATGGCAAGATGCTGCACTGCAATCCCAGAGGCACAAGGTTCAAACCCACCAGATACTATGCTGGAGAAGGAGGGGCAATCTCCTCTTGTACCAGTCAGACCCAATTTGATGGTACACACACACAAAATATAATAAAAATTTAAAAAAATATTCTCATAAAAAAGTAACTTTTATTTTTGCTTTAATAGAATCATCCCAAACAACCACACATAAATGCTTTAAAAGAGTCATGAATAACCTTGTTTTGTTTTTCAGGATTGACATAGAAACTACTAAAAGATCAAACATGATGAGATATTGTTATCTTTGGTTTTATAATTATATTGTCATATATTGTAAATAGTGGAAAGCTGCCATGGTTTTAGAATCTTGTTGGCTATCATTCTTCAAGAGCAGTTAGTGATCTTAGTTCTTTGATCCTAACTTTCAGGTAAAGAAGACACTCCGTCACTGCTGGGTCTCTGTGGGTCTTTAACATCCGTGGCAAGTTACAAGTCTCTAACAAGCCTGAAATCTAATGACTACCTTGCAAGTCCTACAACAGAGATGACAAGTCCAGGCTTAACTCCATCCTGAAAAAAAAAAACTACGTAAAAGCCAGATGTTTTTTATGTTGTAAATGTTCCGTTTACATTACGTTTTACTGCTGGGAAGACCTTTGAAGTTTTATACTGTTTGGGCACATGTCTGGAATTCTGTACTTTAAATGACAGAGTTCAGTCTGTTCCATCTGACCTTAAGAGTGAAAACCAATGATCTACTGTTTTACTTTTTCTGAGAATTTCATCCTTATTATTGAGAAATGCCATTGATGAAGTTAAAAAAAAAATAGACTTCAATAAAACCTTTTAAAGATCCTCTCCAAATTAATAACCTATTTCAACTGTATTGAGCCAATTTTCATATTATTTAACTGTCACCAGAGACTATTTGAGGCTCTATTCCAGACACTTACACTAAGAATTTTCATTTTTTCCTTTATTCAGATGATTCTTTTACACCCACAGCCACACACAATAAAACATTTGTTTCACTCATTTCTCCCTGGGCTTTACTATGTAAATGCCTTTTTACTATAAGGTGAAGGTCCTCGGGTACGGTTTCAGAGGCTTCTTTGATTTCCCTGTAACATTCAGCATTAGCAACTTAACATTCCATATAATGTTTTATAAATTTTGTAAGAATGTGCCTTTTTAGGCTGTTACTAACTTGTTAAGGTCATAGGGAAAGTATTTACAGTATTCTAGGTCATTTTAGGTATATAGAATAGATAAATTTTTCTTTTTTCCCCCAAGATTTTCTTAAAAGGTTATTGATTTAAAAATATGATCAAGTATGCCTCAAAAATTGGAAATATGTGGAGAAAGGTTTTTCTTAAAAAAGTATTTTACCAAGAACAATTGCAAACTAAATTAAAATCATAAGACACATGCTTTTTAATGTTGCAATCAGTAGAATAATCATGAGATCTAGAAAGATTTCTGTGACATACAATTTTTCCCCTTTGCAAGAACAGTGAATATGTGTATTTTACAGCCTCTCTCATTAATTATGCCATAATTTAATTTTAAAAGTTATGTTAATGTTAAAAATATCTACATTGTAATAGATAACCAGTTTTCTTCTTTAAAAGGCTTAAGATCCTCAATATATAATCTTTACAATTTTTGTAACTGCAAATAATCATTTGTCCCTAAAACTTCAACCAGACTTAGAGAAAATGATACGGAGTATATTTTCTATAGTAGAGAGGAAAACACGATTAGTTGTGCCAAAGATGTTTTATACATTGTTTACATGAAGAGGCTATGATACTTAATAGAGGACTTCCTGTGGTATTTTTGTTAATAAAACATGACAGTCAATCTTATTTGTAGCTTTGACATATAAAAAAAAAAATGTTCCTACTGAAACTGTTTATTGAGTGGAGGAGGCAGAGATCTGAATATGTCACATTGATTCTTTGTCCGGGAAATATGTCTGTGGTGGTGCCCCCCAATATTTACAGCTTAGTTTCATAATTTGGACTCTAATCAGTAGTTACCAATAGATTCAGTGTTGCTCTCCACCCTTGGCACGAGTGTCTTGACCCATCCCTTTCCCTAATCCACCAGCATCCCCTTCCACTCCCCCCTACACCATTCAACACCTCTGTCCCATTATCCAGCCCTTGATATGATGGTTTAAGTCTCAAGCCATCGGGGCTTCTGTGATTCTGAACACCTCACACTTCTCTGAGGTATCATCTGACATACTTTGGGCATGTTGCAAAGAGAGACCAGTCCTTGGAGAGGGATATCATGCTTGGAAAGGTGGAGAGCTGGAGAGAGGGAGACCATCAATGAGATGGATTGGCACAGTGACTAGGGTAATGAGGGTAGGTGTGTCAGACAGAGATGGTAAAACTGGCACAGGATAGAGCAGGTTTCTGGGCTTCTGTTCATAGGGTTGCAAGCAACTCAACGACACATAACAACAACAACAATCAGTAGTAACAAGATGAGTTTTATTTCCAAGACAGAGCAAACTATATCATTTGAAAGCAAAGACAGCCTGGAAGTCCTTAAAAAAAAATGATCCAAGATGTGCCAGAACACACTAAGCTTTCTTCCTTTAGGCTTTAATACATGTAGAAATAGAAATATTTTGGAAGAAGAACACACTTAACCTATCCTGAATCCTGCATACGTTATTGTGAATGAGAAATCCAAGAACAGATTTTTAATGATTTTTAATCAACATGGAAAGTGGAAGGTAGAAAAATGAGGGCAGCTGGAAATCTTGGGATGAATGGAGAAAGAAACAGTTAAAGAGGAGAACTTCAAGAATTCTAGGCTGGCCTTGACCACCATTGCTGCTTTCTTAAGAGCTACCAAAATATTCAAATGCTTTACCATTCATTGTCTATCTCAACTGACATTTATGATCCTTTAGTAATTAAAATAGAATCATTGCTAAATTTTTCCATACGTTTTTATATGAAAATCCAGTTCCATAATTGATAATTTTTTTCAGATTTGTCTAATGTATACAATAAGGTGTGCATCTTAATATGCTGCTCAATGCAGACTTAAACATGGCATCTGAGGATCATGACTTTTCCTCCTTTCTTGGAGCTCTTGGTAAAAAGTTCATCTGCTATTGTGAAATTCAGGTTTCTATACAGTTATGTAACACTAATTATAGAGGTATTTGTTAATGTTTGATTTGTTAATGCATGAGGAAGCCATGTCTGTCTGTCTCAATCTTTAATTTTAGGTGTTAGTGTTTACTGTTCATAAATGAAGAATGCTGAATTATATGGCAATATTTCCACTTGTATTTTGTTGCCTTGATGTACTATATTTGTTGCATGTATAGTAAACATTTTGTACCATGGCACTAGTGGTCTCTTTTTCCCCCCTATGACAAAAAGATCCTTGGCAAGTTTAATACAGAATTTATATTTCAACATATTTGCCAAATATGTAGCACTATTTCATGCCTAAAATACTATCATGAAAATGGATTTTTGTTGCAGGTTTGAAGGGTGATAGCTTTGGGGGTTCTACTAGTTTTTCAGACCAGTAGTAGATCTGGCCTATTTCTTAGGCTTTTGAGTTTTGTTCTACATTTTGCCCACTCTAGGAACTGAAGAGTATTAAACAAACCATGGACTGCCAAAAGAACAAACAGGTATTTCTTGGAGGTAGTGAAAGCAGGCTGCCCTTAGGAAGCAAGGATTCTGAAGCTCAGTCTCACATACATTGGGCATGTTATCAGGAGGGTACAGTCCTGGAGAAGGACATCGTGTTTGGAAGCGTGGTGGGTTAGTGCAGGAGAGAAAGACTTTGCAGGAGATAGAATGAGATAGTAGTGTGTCAAAGATAGTGAGGTTGGCTCAGCATAGAGCAAGGTTCAGAGCTGCTGTTCACAGGGTCATTATGAGTGGTTGTCGACTCAACAAAACACACTTACTCAGCCCTTCACTACCCCCTTCCCCTACCTCCTATCCCACTCCCACCTCAACTTTCAGTCAGAAATACTGCCCATAAAGAGAACATCACCTGGGAGGCACTCCATAGAGCAATCAACTATAAAACATTTAAAAAACAGCCCTTACCCAGAAAATAGGAAAGGTTCAAAGAACAGGATTTGACCAGAAGAGAAGATAGTATAGAAGGACCAAAGGGAAGAGGATTTGAAGCATCTGCTGCAGAAGATCAAGGACCACAGTCTTCAATATGGATTGCAACAGGAAAACAAAAATCCTCACCACTGAGCCAGAAGGCAGCAAAATCATGTACAAAGGAATGTAGTTATTAAAAATTATTGAAGTTATTTAAAATTCTGTCTTAGCTGGATCCATATTCAACACCCTTGATGCCAGCAGTCAGATCAAAAAAAGAGTTGCATTGGGAAAATCAGCTGTCAAGGAACTCTCCAGAGTGCTAAAGAGCACTGATGTCAGTCTAAAGACTAAGGTGCACCTGATCCAAACCATGGTATCCTCAGTTGCTTACTATGCATTTGAAATCTGGACAATGACTAAAGAGGACAGAAGAATCTATTCCTTTAAGTTGTGGTGCTGGAGAAGAGTGTTTAACATCCCTGTCAAGAGAACACACAGGTCAGTCTTGGAGAAAGTGAAATCATGGTGCTCCTTGGAGGCAGGGTGGTGAAATGCCACCTTTGTCAAGAGGATGCAGTCCTTGGAGAACATCATGTTTGGAAAGGTGGAGGGTCAGTGCCAGAGAGGAACACCCTCACCTAGATGGATTGGCACAGGTACTGTGGCAATGGGGTGTCAGAGATGGTGATGTTGGTTCAGGATGGGAAAGGCTCAGAGCTGTTCTTCATGGGGTTGCTATGATGGCATAATAACAATGCAAATTACATGAAAGGTAACAAACATTAATACTGTAATAAAACATTTCTTCTTGAAAACTTGATTGTATATGAAAAATCTTATGTTAATAGAATGAAAAATGTTTTCTAGGCTTGCAAATATTGCAATTCTTGCAGTGTATGCATTAAAAAGAATGAGAAAAGGGAGGTCTGGTGGCCTAGTGGCATCCCAGAGGTATGCAGTTCAAGTCTACCAGATGCTCTACTGGAGGAGAGGCAATCTCTTCCTGTACCATTCAGATCCGATTTGACGGTACACACAAAAATTAATGAAATAAAATAAAATATTTTTTAAAAGTGGTTACTTGTAATAAAAGAATGAGAAAAGCATGGGGTTAGGAGGTCAATTTATATACTGATGTGAAATATGGGAATAATTAATTGACAATATAATTCAGTTACTATGAGACAGACTTGGGTTGAAGGGAATGAAAAATATATTTCAGCTATTGATAGACTGAGTTTACCCAACTACTCTTTCAATTAAAAAATGATAACCACAGTGTTGAAACAATCATAAGTAACTACTCTTGGTTGCCAAAAAATTTTTTCCATTTTTTTAATTTAAAAAATATATTCATGCTTCTTTACCTCTTTCATTTTCTTGATGTCAAGATGCAATCCATAGTGAAGGCTATATTCTTTGATCTTCTGCAGCATATATATGGATCTTGCATTAGTGGATACTGGATATTGATGGATCTTAGCTGAAAGCAAGAGGAATTTCTGCCTGTGCCTCACTAACTGTGTAAAGGCATTTTACTGTGTAGATCACAACAAACTGTGGCTAACCTTGAGAAGAATGGGAATCCCAGAACATTTGATTGTATTCATGCAAAACCTATACTTGGACCAGGAAGCAGTCATCAGAACAGAGCAAGGAAACACTGCATGCTTATTATTAATTAGAAAAATAAAATTAGAAAAAGAGTGTATCAGGGATGTGTCCCTGTCTCCATACCATTTCAATCTATATGCAGCACACATCATCCAGGAGGTTGGACCTTATGAGGAATGTGGCATCAGGACTGGAGAAAGACTCATCAGCAACGTGCATTGTGCAGATGATACAACCTTGCTTACTGAAACTGAAGAGGACCTGCAGCATTTGCTGCAGAATGTCAATGACTTTAGTTTTCAATATGGAGAAGACAAATTCTCACCACTGGACAACAGAGAGTACCATGATAGATGGAGAAGAGATTGAGGTTGTAAGTAATTTCACCTTGCTTGGCCCTACAATCACCATTCTTGGCTCCAGCAGTCAGGAAATTAAAAAAAAAAAACCCACCCTAATTGCATTGGGAAAGTCTGCTGTGAGGGACCTCTCCAGAGTGCTGAGGAGCAATGATGTCAGTCGAGGGACTTACGTGAGCCTGATACAGGTCATGGTCTTCACAATTACATACTATGCATCAGAGAGCTGGACAATAACTAGGATGATAGAAGAATAAATGTCTTTGAGTTGTGGTGCTGGAGAAGAATACTGAACATACCATGGACCACCATGATAAAAAAAAAAAAAATAGGTCTGTCTTGGAGAGGGTGAAACCAAGTTTCTCCTTGGAGGTAGGATTTTGAAGCTCCATCTCACATACTTTGGGCACGTGGCCAGGAGGGACCAGTCCTTGGAGAAGGACATCATGCTTGGAAGAGTGGAGGGACAGCACAAGAGAAAAAGACTATGGATAAGGTGGATTAACACAATAACTGGGGCAATGGGATTAGATGTGTCAGAGTCAGTGAGACTGGCTCAGGATAAGGCAGGCTTCAGAACTGTTGTACTATGTCTATAAGTCACAAGTCACTTGATGGTACATACTAACAACATACTGAGCTCTACTAAAGTACGTCTGATTCAAGCCATAGTTTTTCCAATCATTTGCTATGCATCTGAGAGCTGGACAATGAGTAGAGATGACAGAAGAAGAACTGATGCCTTTGATTCGTGGTGTTGGAGAAGAGCACGTAACATCCCATACATGGACAAAAGAATAGACAAGTATGTCTTGGAGAGGGTGCCTCAGAGTGCTCTTTGGAGGCAAGGCACTTTGGACATGTTGCTAGGAGTCTGTTCCTTGGACAGAGACGTAATGCTTAGAAGGGTGGAGGGTTGGTGAATGAGAGGAAGACCCTCGACCAGGTGGATTGATATGGTGACTGCCGCAATGGGCTCTAATGTGCTAGGATGTGTGAAGATGGCACAGGGTTCAGATGTGTTGTTCATAGGGTTACTATGAGTCATACTCGACTCGACAGCACCTAACAACAGTGGCCTAGTGGTAAAAAGTTGCAGTGCAATCTCGAAGACAAGTGGTTCAAATCCACCAGCAGTTACATGAGAGAAAGATGGGGAGTCTCCTCCCGAGAGATTAACTGCCTCTGAAAACTTGATGTAGTCAGCTGTGAGTTAGTTCTGACTCGATGTTACACAACATATACATATGAGATATCTATAGATAAAGATACCTAACTTATTCATTCCATTGAGCTAGACCTACCTCTCCAGTGGGATTTCAGAGGCTCTAAATCACCCTAGAGGAGATTACCCCTTTTCCTTCGGCATAGCAGCTGGTAGATTTGGGTCATCTGCCTTTGGATGGACAACATAACATTTACAGACTAGGCAGCCAGAGCTTCCATAGCGAGATACACACACACACACACACACACACACACACACACACACACACACACACACACAGCAAAGCATTACGTTATTTGTATCTCAAAAGAACAGACTAAAACAGTATTAGTTTAAGAAGGCATGGAATATTTTAATGAAAATATAACTTAAAATCATTTGTGTGATATTTTTGCAAATTTAAGATATGTAAATACAGGATAACACAAACAATAGATGCTACATACAAACCTTAATGTTTGTTTTGTATTTCTACTTCAATACAAAATATATTAATTACCTTACTCAAACCAGAGATTTGTCACCTAAATATATTGTTCCATTTTAGAAAAGAAAAGGCTTCAAGGTACCATAAATTACTTATATAGAGTGCAATAAAGTGGTTTTTATTATATAATAAAAATCATCCTGACAAAAATCAAGTAATAAAAAATACCGTATCATTATAATCTTTTTCACTTCACTCCTCAGTATATCCAAAAACTAAATTATGTAGGCATTAGCCTCCATACTAGGTTCAATAATTGAAACCATGTTTGTCTGCTGGCTTCTTCTCTTGGTCTAGCACACTATCCTAGACGGCATGAAATCACAGATTTTTTAAATCTTCCGTGACCAATATAGTAATAATTTCTTTAATATTAGAACAAGCTATTAGAAATTACCTAGAAACTCCATGAACCAATTACAAAATTGTTTATCATATACTCAAACTTTAATAGTCTAAATACAATGCGATTTTCCACTTCACACCCAAGTTTGACTGCATGTTTTCACTCTAATCATTCAAAAGAAACAAAAATCCCCAGATCCCTATTCTCAAGAAATCAATAGTTTACAAGTTTGTTGTGTGCTGTCAAGTCGGAACTAACTCAGAGCTGACTCTCCAGCAAGTTTTCAAAGGCAATTTATTCATAAAAAAATGTAGCAGTTATAGCACATAACTGATATATTTTTTACAAAGATAAAACAGCCAACCATTTGATTTGAGAAATACTCATTTATATGAGGCCATAAATAGTATCATGGGCTGGTGGAAACCTAATGTATTTAGACCACTGTTGCATGCTGTTGGATGGATTTAAATTCAGAATAACCGAATTTGACAGAACAGCTTCACGGGCTGTAATCTTTACAGAAGAAGATTCAGAGGTCAATCCTTCCTCAGAGAGGCTGGTGGGGCTCAAAGCACCAACTTTCCAGTTTGCAGTGATGAACCATTGCATTACTCCTTGCATTTGGATATAAAGTAGTAAGTAACATTTGGTAAGTACGCCTAATGTTACTTAATGGTTACCCTCGACTACCTGCTGAAATCCTTAAACATTTCTATGTGCATGATTTAAATGTGCAAAGAAGACTTGGAATTTCTTCTAGACTCTGTACAGCACATAATTCAAAAGTTGTGATGTAGCTCATACACTCTCAATAGGATTACGTTACTGAAATACATGCATATCAAAGTTTCAGAGGTTTTTTTTTTTAGTATACAGATAATTTAAAAAAAAAAACCAAAACAAAACAAAACAAAAAACCAAAACAAACAACCCTGTAAGAATGCTTAATAGTTGCGATTTCTGGAATCTCTTTTTCAGTATCTCAAAAATCAAGATAACAAAGTTTATTCTGAAATCAGTATTATGATTTAGAGATGGAGTAATAAACAATTTTCAACTCACTGCCATCAAATCAGAACTGACTTGTAGCTAACCTCCATGAGGTTCTTGATGTTAAAAATCACATGGGAGGAGACTGACTGCCTTTCCCCCACTGACTGACTAGTGGCTTTTGCGTGTACAGCGCAGCTCGCTATGGACTACACAATCAGAGCACCTCTTAAATAACTACTCATTTAGATTATAAGAAAGAAAAATATCAAATCATTGTAAGAGAAAAGTGAAGAAAGTTCTTGCCTCAGGGTGTCCATTTTATTTTCTGGCTATGGTTATGATTTCAAACTGAAACATCAATAGCTAGATTGCTGGCTTCGAACATTTTGTTTGTGGAAAAAAGCCTTTCCAAATTCATATGTGCTGATCATAATGGCACAAGCAGGGGCAATTTTGATTAAACGAGGAATTAGGCCTGAAAAGAAAATAAGAATCATCAGAACAAATTTTATTTTTTTAGATTCCATTTATTTAGCTTTATTCTGTTATAATTATCTAAGTGATTTTTTTTGGGGGGGGGCCAGGAATTGGTGGTAAAGAACAAGCAATATAACTCAAATTCAACCCTCACACACTTTAATTCTGCATTATTTTACTCTATCTATGGTAAAACTTACGTAGTATTTCCTTTATAACAAAGTTATTGAGGAGAAAATCATAAATATGCAATACTTTCCTATAAAACTATTCCTCTTAAAGGTTATTTTAGGAAGTATTAGATATGGAAGTAATCATTGTTTTTAGTGATTCAATAAAGAAAATGTTTTTACCTGTGAATAATCCAGGAAGTCCATTTTTAGCAACAATGTTCTTTATTATAACCCAAGTTGACACTTTTGAAGGTACAGGCACTACAATTTTAGAATAAAGAAGTAATGATGACATGGTAGTAACTTTTCATAGACATAATATGCATAAGATAATTTTTATGTCCTTTGTTGTTGATTGCCGTCAAGTGGAGCATGACTCATGGTGACCCTATGAACAAAAGGCCTAAAGCCTTTCTATAACTATCACCATTTATAAAAGTTCATAGAGTTTCTCGAGGCATGATGTTCAGGAAGTTGATGCCAATCATTCTATTGAGAGATCTGGTGGCCTACAAGGTCAAGAACTCTACTACCAACTGAAAGACAGGCAGTTTGAATCCACCAGTTGCTTTCTCTAAGTGAGAAAGTTAGCAATCTCCTGTGTGATTTATAACCTCTGAAAATCCACGGGAGGGTCAGCTCTGGGTTGGTTCCCACTCAAAGGCAATGTGTTTAAGGTTTTTTTATACTGTTCCATTATAATAAGACAGAGTTATTTATAGAAAGAGGCATTTTAAATCTTTTAATAGTGGATCAATTAAAAAATAGAAAAAGAATTATATCAATTTGGGTAAAATCGATACTTTACTTCTTAAGCTTGGTAGTGGGGGTTTTTTCCATACAATTCCAGATAAACTTTTTTTACTATCATTTGTATTGCACACATTTTTTTCATAGAAAGTCTCAAGAAAACAGCCCATTCTCTGTGGTCAGTGGGACCTTGCTTTCCAATCATCTTTCTGAATAGATATGCTAATATTCAAATAGCTTAGTCCTGATTCTCCTAAATGAAAATATTATCTGGGCAACACTAACACCTCATTTATTTGTAAACATTAAGATACATCTTTAAAAAAATGTCTGGTACATAATGGAAAGAAAATTTTTAAATAGCAAAAATAAATGTCATTAAAAACTAAACATTAACATTTATGAATGAGATTCCTTAATGCAAAGTTTAGTTCTCTTCATTTTACATATTGATTCTAAACTAACTTAGTCCACAAACTGTTTACAAGATAGAATAAATTCAAATAAAACAAAAGGAAAACATTTCCAGTCAAATGAAGGAAAATATATTGAGTAAGAAGCAAGCATACTATCATGTACATAACAAAAGACAGGCTGAAGATTTTAAAATCTTAGTTTAAGACCAGTTGGATGATGGTCCTATAATCCTCACAGGAGGACTATAAAATGCTTCAATTATTCATATTTAACACTGGTAACAACCCTGAATCATTAAGAAAGATTAAAGTACTTACTACCAAGTTTATCTACAGCAAAAAGGAGAGAAATAAAAGTTCCCTGCTTATGAAGACAAATGAAGCCTATAGTTTTATTTTAGAAGCCTTACCATCAGTATAAATAGTATAAATATAGCAATGCAAGAGAAAGGTATCTATTTTAAAACTGAGAACAAGTATTTAAGAAATTAATTGTAAACAAAATAACAAGAATGATATACTTTGCACAGGCAACTTTCACTTTATGTTTCAGTTATTTAAATTTTATATTAATTTTAAATTATATTAATTTTAAATTATAAAATTTTAAATTATATTAATTTTAAATAACTCATAAAAGAAGAAGGTCCTTGGAGAAGGACATCATGCTTGGGAGGGTGGAGGGACAGTGCAGGAGGGGAAGGCCCTCTATGAGGTGGATTGATTCAGTGACTGGGATAGTCAGGATGGGAGTGTCAGAGGCAGTGTGACTGGCACAGGACAGAGCAGAGTTTAGGGCTGTTGTACATAGGGTCGCTATGAGTCGCAAGCGACTCTATAGCACATAACAACACAACAACATAAAAGAAAATCAGGTAGCCAGATACTCTGTAGAATTCATAGCCTAGTTTCTATTAAGACAGAATTAAATGATTTTAACAGTATCAAATGAATCTAAGAATGTAACTGGATCTCTAAAGCCTGCAGTTCCAACATTAAAGGATATTCTTGCAGGTAAAAAGCAACTTATTAATGGAAGGAAACAATTTTAATATGAAGCATTTCCAGCATACAGATAATATTAAAGCAAATATCCATTGATAACATCTTTAAATGTATTAAATATCAACAAGTGTATCTTTCACATACAACTGGGGGGTGTGTGTTCCTGTATATCTCCACATTTATTCCTTCTCTTTTCCTCAGAAACAACTGCTTTCCTTTCTTTTTTAATCTTCCTCATGTATGTTTCAATGTTTACTAGGCTGAATATATCCATAAACAACTGTACTCTTGCTTACTGAGTTTTTAGATGCCATATAAATTATATCACAAGTACATTTACTCTTATAATGTACCTTAAGGATTATCTGTATTGATGAATGTAGCTACAGTTTATTCATTTTAATTCCTGTATACACTATTATTGTATAGATTATCATAAATTATTCATTTTCCTCTCAAGAATATTTTAGGTGGCTTTCAACTATGTGATAGTTAAGGTTCTGGTAATGACTAACCTTGTACATTTACAGAAGTTTCTCTAGGGCACATAAACAGAAGTGGAATTTCTAGGTCAAAGGACATTTCTTGATCCTGCCAAGCTGTTCACTCAGCTGCTTGTTCCAGCTTCACACTGACCAGCAGAGGGCAAGAAAGTTCCCACCATCCCATGCAATTTCTTCAGTTCTTCAGTGCATATGGAAATCTTCTGAATGATGCTTTAGTTGATATTTTTCCCCAATTATTATTAAGATTTTTTTTATTAGTTTATTGGCAAAATATAACAACTTTTTAAAGGATTCTTTTCGAATGTTTTAATATGCTGAATATGTTCAGAGCAAAACTTGACCTTTAGAAAACAGATCTGGGGCACATTTAAAGAGCTGAAGACATTTTTAAAACTACATATGCGAGCAGAGAAAATAAACCAAACTTGATTTACCTATTTTAGATATTTTTTTAACTTAATAAAAACGTAAGAAAAAATTCTTCATGGGATCTTAAAAATGTCCCAAATTAATGAAACTTACATTCATGACTTTCATATATCCAAAGTTGTGTCTGTTTCTGTGTTTTTACCACATCGAATGGTAAAGTCATAACCGCTGCAAACTAGCAAAAAGTAAAACTTATTAGATATACAGTTAAATAGTTTCCAAAGGTCTTTTCATCTTCTAGTTAACAGTGTCATCGATAATAATAAAAATCATAACTGAATCTTAAGATAAATTAGATATAAAGAAATGCTCTTATTAACTAAATTAGATCTGCATCCAAAGTATTTTGCACAGAACTCTGGAGTAAGTACAACTTAGTCTCAGAAAAATCCTACTTTCCTCCTGTGAGTGACAGTCTCAACTAGATGTCTTGAACTTCAAAATTTTTGTTCACAATCTCTGATACTCCATTTATTGCAATTGAAGGTATTCTTCCAAGGTATATTACAAAGCAGAAAGTGTCAAATATGTAAGCAAGCATTTAAATTGTTTTAAAAAATAGAATGAAAATGAAATTTAAAATACTTAAATAGGCTCTTAGTTCTATGTACTTAGTTCCAAGTTCTGTGTGTTCACGTTACAACATATTTATCAGTACTTAAAATAGTTTCAAAAAAATATCTACAATCAATATTTACAATAGTTCACTTTATAGTTTACTTCATTTTAATAATTATTTCCATAGTGCTTTAATTAAGCAACAGATTCTTTAAAATGATAGTTAAACTTCTTTAAAGATATTTTCAAGACATTTGATAACTATCTTGCTATTTCATGATAAAATTAATACTTCTACTTTCTAACACTTGTCTTGAGAACCAATGAGCATAGACCAAATGAGCTCTGGGAAGATATCAAGAAAATCATCCAAGAAGAATGCAAAAGATAATTACAAAGGCTGAAGAAGATGAAAAGACCACTAAGGATGTCAGATAAGACTCTGAATATTGGATTAGAGTGCCAAGAAACCAAAGCTAAATGAAGAAATCAGGAAATCAAAGAGCTGAACAGAAAATTTCAAAAGGTAGCTCGGGATGACAAAGCAAGATACTGTAATGAAATGTGCAGAGAGCTGGAGTCAGAAAATCAAAAGGGCCGAACTCACTCAGAGTTTATTAAGCTGAAGGAGCTAAAAAAACAAATTCAAGCCATGGGAGGAAATTCTTTGGACAGAATGTTAAATGATCCAAGAAGAGTTAAAAGAAGATGGAAGGAGTACACAGAGTCACTGTACCAGAAGGAACTGGCTGACAAAGAATTTCATGAAATGACATATAAGCAAGAGCCTGTGGTGATGAAGGAGGAAGTTCAAGTTGCTCTGAAGGAATTGGCAAAAAACAAGGCTCCAGGAGTTGACGGCATACCAATTGACATATTTCAACACATAGTCGCTGCCCTGGTTGTAGTCACTAAGTTGTACCAAGAAATCTGGAGGACAGCCAGCTGGCCAACTGACAGGAAAAGATTGATATTTGTTCCCATTCCAAAGAAAGGTGACCCAACAGAGTGCCGAAATTATTGAACAATATCATTAATATCACATGCAAGCAAGATTCTGCTGAAACTTATCAAAAAACAATTGGAGCAATATGTCAACTGAGAACTGCCAGATATGCAGGCTGGATTTAGAAGAGGTCATGGTACTAGGGATATTATAGCTAAGGTTAGCTGGATCTTTGCAGAAAGCAGAGAATACCAGCGGAATGTCTATTTGTACTTCACTAACTATGGAAAGGCTTTTGACTGTGTGGATCACAAAAGCTATGGCTGACTCTAAGAATGGGAATTCCAGAACATTTGATTGTTCTTATGCGAAACCTGTATTTGGACCAAGAGGCAGTCGTCAGAACAGAGCAAGGAGACACTACATGGTTCAAAATCAAGAAGGGGATCCACCAGGGAGGTATTCTGTCTCCACACCTTTTCAATCTGTATGCAGAACAAATCATCTGAGATGCTGGGCTGTCCTGAGAAGGAATGTGGCATCAGGATTGGTGGAAGAGTCATCAACAACCTGTATTTAAGCAGAAGACACAACCCTGCCTGCTGAAATTGAGGAGAACCTGAAGTGCTTTCTGCAGAAGATCAAGGACTGCAGCCTTCAATATGGATTGAAGCTCAACATCAAGAAAACAAAGATTCTCACTAACGGGCCAATTGGCAGCATCAGTGTGGATGGTGAAGAGATTGAGATAGTTAACAGTTTTAGTTTGCATAGCTCCACAGTCAACACTCTTGGTACCAGCAGCCAGGAAATCAAGAGACGAATTACATTGGGAAAGACAGCTGTCAGGGACTTCTCAAGAGTACTGAAGAGCAACGACGTCAGGCTGGAGACTAATGTGCGCCTGATCCAGGC